TTATGATAAAATGTAATTTAGGTCACATACAGAGGCTTTAACAAGACTGTAACAGACTAATTCAGATGATTATGAAGAGAAATAACAGATTATCACTGCAAGGCAATCTCTACAGAAGCAGACAGGCGCAGGAAATGCATCTCTCTGTAACTGTATTAGCTGTTGAAGATAACGGCAAACAGTTTAACTGTGTTTGCCTTAGCAACATTTATGTTAAAGCGACATTAAACTCAGGAGTTAAATCTTAAAAATGCATTTATGTACCTTAACTATTTAAAAAAATGTATGTTATTTGTTTATCACTCAGCTGTAGATCATCAAATCAACTCTGACTTGGTGCTGACACTGTCCTTCCTTCTGAAGGGTGGCTACTTTTGTTCCCCATGGTCCCTGTGTGTGTGTTGTAAAGTAGTCACCACTCCAAGTTCACTCCCGTGATGGACTACAATCTCATGATTAGTTTACTCATTTGTACTGATATTATAGTCCATCACAGGAGTGAGCTGGGAGGGGTGGCTACTTTATAATAATCGTGCAAATTGAAAATTCCCTCCCAAACTGAACAGCCTGTTTGCGTTTAGCAAATCAACCCCTCTGTCTTTTCTATTACTTGCTGTCTGACTTTAACACTGCTGTGGAAGCTGAAATTACAAGACCTTTTACAGACTAATTTTATTCAAGAATATTGGAGCTCCAATGGCTACTATTTTCTAAGGGGGTTATTCACTATGGAGCTGAAGGATACAGCGGTGACTTCGGCTAATCCTTCGGCTCTCTTCGGCCACCTCTGCCCTTCAGTTCAGTCGAACCGAGGGGCTGCTGTACATGCTGTTCACAATAGCCCGTACAGCAGCCAAAGGCAGCCGAGCGGCTCAGCTGAACTGAAGGCACATGCGTCGGCTCGACTGAGCCAAAGTGACAGCTGAAGCATGGAGAAAGGTCAGCCAAAGCCGACCGATCTCCACGCAAATGACAGCTGGGCAGAGCCAGCCGTGATCTCATGGCTCACTCCGCCCAGTTGTAATGACAGCTCAGCATCCCCAAATGACCTGGGGACTTAATCTGTCATTAAACAATAACCACTGGGCGGAGCCACCCGTGACATCACGTCCAGATAATCTTTTCTGTTCTTTTAAAACTATAATTTTTTAGATATGTTCATAAATAAAAATGTGTTACATTTAATATATATAAAACAATTGGACGGAGCTAGTAGTGACAGCTAGCTCCGCCCAACTGTTTCCTATTGGCTGTAATTAGTTGTTTTCATACAATGAGGTATGCATAAAGGGGGAGTAGCACATCCTAATCATTTATATCAAAAAGAAGAAAGAGTGTTCAGACTTTTAAAGTACCCCAAGGATCACACAAATGTACTTTTATCTCTCTCTCTCTATATATATATAGAGAGAGAGAGAGAGAGAGAGAGAGAGATAAAAGTACATTTGTGTGATCCTTGGGGTACTTTAAAAGTCTGAACTCTCTTTCTTCTTTTTGATATAAATGATTAGGATGTGCTACTCCCCCTTTATGCATACCTCATTGTATGAAAACAACTAATTACAGCTAATAGGAAACAGTTGGGCGGAGCTAGCTGTCACTACTAGCTCCGTCCAATTGTTTTTCTTTTGCCGGCATCTTTGCCAGCATTTTTTAAAATTATTTTAATTTTTTTTTTCTTTTCTTTAAACTGTTTTAATTTTCCTATTTTCTTATTTTTATAAACTTATTTTTCAACTTTTTTTCTTTTTTTGATTCATTTCACTCTTTTTCTATTCTTGCGGTCGACCAATTTTGGATGTTTTGACATTATATCTTCTGAATTGTAATATGAACCCTGGAAGAAGCTGCACAATAACCCAATGTCCTCTCTGGGCAAATACCAAAATAAGCCTGCAATTCCAGAAATCTAGCGATCTTGTGTGATCAGCATTAATTAATAAGATTTGGTGAATGTACAATATGGAAAAAAACAGCCTATACCCAAAAGTCTGAATTACATATCTTCACCAAAATATGGGAACCTTGGAAGGTGGCTTTTTAGCCCAGGGAAGCCCATCAGGATTTATACACTACAATATGACTCTCCAGACCTCTGCCAAAGGGCATTATATGGCCAGTTGATATTAATGGGTCATATAATACCCTTTGGCATTTTATGACCAGTCAACCCTTAATACTTAGTTATCTGCTACTGCTATGGACCAACAAGAGAAAACTCAGTATGGCAGTGGGTACCACCATGTGCATTTTATGACCAGTCAACCCTTAATACTTAGTTATCTGCTACTGCTACAGACCAACAAGAGAAAACTCAGTATGACAGTGGCAGTGACTTGTACCCAGTGATGCTCCTCCAGCCTTTAGACTTTTTCAAAAGACTGTTTACAGTACTTCTATAAAAGCTTTTCAGTAGACATGTGCACCAGCAAAAAAATTGTTTAGTTTAGTTTTGAAACAACAAAAAAAAATTGTTTAGTTTAGTTTCGTTTTGATTCGGACTTTGCATTATTTTGTTTTTCGGATTCGGGTCTGAAATTAAATTAGTTTCGGATTCGGGTCCAAAATTCGACCCTTTAGGTCTGGTAGGAATGTTAGGAGAATGCCAATTCAAAAGCAAAGAAAAAAAAAAACTTTATTCATTATTCTCCCTGCCTTGGATTAGAACCTGTGACCTTGACAATGGCAAACCAGTACTCTAACCACTACACTATTGACTCTGAACTTTTAACCATGGAATTGTTGTAGAGGGCAAATGTTGTAGTAGGTGTTGTAGGAGAAACATCATGGCTCGCTCCGCCCATCTGCATGCGGGCTGAATGTAATTTTTGCGGCGAGTTTTCGCCAGGTTCGGGTGGTCGTCTGCGGCGGGACTTTTTTTATTTCGGCGGGTTGGCAGGGGTTCTGCATCCTGATTGACTCTGGATTACATTGATGGAGCCATTTTTTTAACATTTTTTTATTAAAGGTTTAGTCAAAAATTGACTGTTTTTTTTTTTTCAATTAAAGGATTTTGTCAAAAGTAATTGGGGCTGGGGTTCCCCTTTAAAATTCCTACCAGGGGGGGTCCCTCCTAACATTCCTACCGCTTTTTTTTTGCATCTTCTGCAGACTAAAAAATAAATGCATTTTTTTTCCCTAATGTTATTTTGCTGCAATGAAATTCGTCCAATAACAAATTTAATTGCAGCAAAATGACATTAGGAAAAAAAACGATTTTTTTTTTTTTACAGTTTGCAGAAGATGGAAAAAAAAAAGCGTGAGGTTCCCCCCCAATAACGAATTTCGTCCATAAAAGAATTTCGGCCGGACTACCACTAACAAATTTAGGGAAATCGGGAATTCGGATTAGTTTGCATTCGTCTTAGCTGTAATTCGGAATTTGGATGCATCCGAATCTCCGAAAATTCGTCCGAAACGAATTTCGGAACGAACCGAATCGCACATGTCTACTTTCAGTATCTCTGGAGTATGTGGGAAAGAAGAGACAATGAAAATATGGTTTAAAACTCCTTTATTGCACATTTTTTCAAAAAACCTAGTGCTGCCTAAAAGGTAAAGAGACAGCAAAATTGTATTCTGGAAATGTATGGTAGGTAAAATTTTGCAATTCAGTTTTTCACTTATTTGAGCTTTTGACTGTTAATGGATCTTTTATTAATATAATAAAAACCACACCATTTCCAGATAGAGAGTTCCATTCAGCTACTAATTTGTAGAAAGATGGTCAGAAACGTATTGATCTCTTCAACAGCAGGCTTTCACAATGAAGGGAACAACTGAAGAATACCTAAAACATGGAGGCCATTTTGAGACTTTTTAAATGTTGGAACATACAAGTATTGAGATTAGTATTTAAGTATGCTGCATACATTAGTATGCTTTAACCGTGTTTCCACTCACAGATAGTATTAAAGTGATATTAACCTCTTGCCGTCCGCCCGTTAAGAAAAAACGGACGGCAGACGGCATTTTTTTCCTGCTCGCGCGCGCCCGGGCAGGAAAGACCCGCTCGTTACTACAGCCGTTAACGGCTGTTTCACATACAACCGATCAGCGGCTCTATAGCCACCGATCGGTTGTATGGTGTGAATTTCGGAGCGCCCCCCATGATGAAGCAAATCTGTGCTTCATCAGCTTCTTTTGGGGTCTCCAGGTGACATTAAATGAAAAAAAATCTATATAAATAAAAAAAGTTACAAAAAATTAAAGTCACAAACAAAACAAAAAAAACAAAAAAAAGTAAACCCCCCCAATGTTTAAGTCCCCCCCCTTCGAAGGGGGTTTAACACCCCGGATGTCAACTGGTTAAAGTCAAAAGATTTTTCAGCTTTTTTCAAATGCTGTTGAAATCACTTACAATCGATGCTGCTTCTTGGTGTTTAAAAGTTTCAGCTCCCTGCAGAATCAGCTGGTCCTGATATCGTGTTTTAGTGTGGCTCCTTTCCCTTGCAGAGTCCTATGGAGCCACCCTTGGATGCATTAGTAAGCTGATAATGTGTGTCTCCACAAACACACAGACACAGCAGGGCAAGCCACTTCTCCTGCTCCCTGCTGCTACTTCAAGCTAGTAGATGGACAGCTGCTGTAGACTGCTCTGTTCCTTGTGAACTTGTACTGGACAGGAAGTTCAGGGAAGCTGAGCTGAGAGAGTTGGTATGAAAGAGTTGCGGTATGGAAAAATGATGACTGTAAGTGTTTAGGCAAAAATGTAAAGCGATGCTTTGCTGGGCAATGTGAATTTGTTTGATTTGGATTCATTATTGAAAAAAAGTTTGAGAGTTTAATACTACTTTAACGTAAGCAAATTCTGCAACCCACACCTATTCAATAATGCTGGTATTAAACATTCTGCTGCAATTTGAATGATTAAAAACTGTTAAACACAAACAATTTATAGAAATTTGTAAATTCTAACTCGGATTTCTTGTTTGTTCATTAAAAAGAATTTTGTTTCCCTGATTGCAAATAACCTATTTCTGGTATGTTCACATTTGTAGGTCTCATCAGTGCATGTTAACAACTGCTTGCAATCATGGCACTCAGTGGTGCATTTAAGGCTGTCACTAAAACCCCAGGGCTAATTATTTGGAGAATTGAGGTGAGTGGAAGTGTTTACATTATGATAATAACAATGAAAAAGTTCCTTTACACTTATTTCTGAAAACTTCCCAATCACACTTATTTCTTTTATTTATCGCATTATTTTGCATTAACAATTTTGGACGTGCATGTGCAAAGTTTGCCTCATTTTGTATAATCTTGTAATCTTGCTGCTGGATAGAGAAGGGCTCAGGGAAAAGGGTTTCCCTCCCTTCACAAACACTTCTGAGCCAACACGTGTAAGCATGATACCCGACCCATAGTATATACACAGCACCAGTGCTGCAATTGCTTCTCAGTCCTTGACGTTGGAATCAGCGTGCATATACAATACAGAACTCTGTACATATTTCTAAAGCTTCTGGTGAATCCAGGCACATTTGCTGGAAACAGATGATAGAAATGGAGCGGCTCAGCTTTCACACGTCTACTCTTGCCAATGGAACCTCGGCACCAGGTAAGGCTTCTGCCCAAGCCTTAAATCCAAAAGTCCGTAGAAAACTGGCATTTGAAACAATATCAGTCCAATTATATTAATTTATTCCCAAAAAAGGGATAAAAACAGTCGATAACAAACTTCAGTCTCGTTTCGGCCCCACAACCTAAGCCTTAAGCCTCAAGCCTCAAGGCTTAAGGCTGTTGGGCTGAAACGCTTCAGAAGTTTGTTATTGACTGTTTTTATGCAATACATTTATATAATTGGACTGATGCCGGACATTTGTTGGAAACCCCTCACGTTTGCTGATATGTATGAGATTTTTTTTTAGTGCAAGTAATGTACACGTTGAATGTTTAATCCAATAAGTGTGTTAATAGAGCTGTTAAACCAGGTCTAGCACTTGAAAGGGTAATGTTTTAATTTATATATTCATTTATTCTTTTTATTGAAAAGTACAAATAATAGGCGTACTTCAACCCTTCCAATCATATCAGTTCAGAGTATCAGGTAGCATGCAGGCTGCTATCCCAGTGTGTATATGGCCTATCTGTATACCAGTCCCCATGCCCTTCACAATCCCATCCCGGGCACCAGAGGTACTGAAAGACTGGTGATCATCACAATATTGTTCTTTTGGGATCCTGTGCAAATTCCCCTGCAATGATGCAAGCTATGCAAGATGGTATTAGAATAGTAGAGGAAATGCTGGTTTGATGTTTTTCATTTTCAAGTTATTTAGTTAAAAAACTGCTGAAAATGTATAAACACAGGAGTTTAGCAATGTTCTTATCAGGTCTCCACAGAGAATCAGCAAACTCATTGTAAAACCGAGCCTGGGATATGTGCAAAATAAATGTCTCCATAGAATGAGACATTGGCTGGATTAGAGAGTAAATGTTTCAGTAAACTTGTTGAGTTATTATTATTATTATTACATAGTATTTATATAGCGCCAACAGTTTGCGCAGCGTTTGCAGATGTTAGCAAGTATGTTTTTAATCCAGGCTACGGTAAGGTTACCAGACGTTCAAAATAAAATCCAGAGACACACTACTGGCCACACCCACAAAATCACCCCCCTTTTTAGTGTGCACTGAAAGAATTGGTCACAAACTTCTGAAAGAGGAACAGACACTAACGATATAAGCACTATAAGGGGTGAAATGCGACGCACGCAAGAGCAGCTGAAGATGCATGGTTAAATAAACCCTGAGCCTACTGTACTATGGGTCATGTGTAATGCACCACAGAGTGCAGGGAACAGAAGTATGTAATGCAAGGACTTCAGAGGTCAAGAGTGCGTAACATAAGGAGTGCAGAGAGTGCAGGTGTGTGTAACGCAGAACACTGGGGTCAAGAGTGCATGGAGCAGAGAGCAGGAATCGGGAGTAGGTAACATAGAGAGTGCAGGGTTCAGAAGTAGGTAACACATGGAATAAAGAGGCCAGGAGCAAGAAAGGCATGGAGTACAGGGGTCATCAGTAGGTAACACATGGAGTACAGGGTTCATGAGTAGGGGACGGTAGCAAGTAAGAGTTCGGAGCTCAGTAGTTAGTAGTGCAGGGTTCAGGGGTCAGGAGTAAGTAACGAAGGGTTCAGGGGTCAGGAGTAGGTGACGCAGAGTCCTAGGAGCAGCCATCCCAGGGACACCACTGGGGACATTTGTTTTCTGGGGACAGACCTCTCAAAACGGGGACTATCCCCAGGAAACAGGGACTAATGGTAACCTTAGGCTACAGTCCCAGATTTGCTAAAGTGTCTGAATGCCTTGTCACCTATTATAAATAAGCTTTTCTAATAAGTTGACATGGACAACCCTCAAAAAGCCAAAGCTACTTTCTAGTATTCCACATGCCGCCTGACTGCTTTACTCTTAAAGGAGAACTTCACCCTTAGGCAACAAAGGCACCTTTAGAAATATTTAAAGCTGGCATTGCACAAACCGATACTTATAGATAATTCCCGGCTTTTTATTCTTTACATACCTTATTTTTCTTTTACTCCCATTCTTCTCATGGTGGCCATTTTCACTAAGGGCAGATTATTGCATCTCCCTTTACTTCCTGTAACTCTGGATCTTCCTCCTGGAACATGTGACCGTGCACATCATCTGAGGGGGATAAAATGTCTTTCCTTCCGAGATCTCGCAAGATTTGTCAGCTTACAGATGAGATTTCACTTGAAGGCACTGGTGATGTAGTCTTCCCAGAATGCATCTGTGAGACCAGGGCTACATCACTGGTACCTCACTCAACCAGGAAGTGGAATAACAGTAATTGTAAGAAAAATAACAAATGTTTGTTCAACTAATGAATGTAAGATGATTTTTAATAGCATACAGAGCTGCATGCTGATGTGATTTTTAGTGAAAGGGGGGTAAAGGTCCACTTTAACTGCAATTCAGCTCTGGCTGAACTCTTGTATGCTGCCTAAGAACCTCTCCCGGTTCATCCTGATCCGCAAACATTAAAGTGTATGTAAAGGCTATTTTCATTCTTTTATTTTTGATAGGGAAGGTGTAGACTCTTTGTTAAGTTTTCATAGTCACCATGACAGAAAGTGGGGGGTAATCCTCACATTTTCAGTTTTCAGAAGAGATGCAGAGAATTCCCCAATGGGGGTACCTCTTCCTGTCACACTCTCCAGGACTGGAATTGTGTTCATCTTGGAGAGATTTCCTGTTGCATCTTTAAGACAGGAAGTGAAGAAAAATCTCCCCAGGAGGCAGATGATAGCAAACAAATAGCCTGACAGGGCTTTACACTTGACACCTATTCTATCTACAACGACAAAACTTTTTTGGCTTTACACATACAGTACTTTTAAAAAAATGACAGTGTCAATGAATAAGACATGTGGAGATTAGGTAAAGTCAAATTTCTCTTTTTTATTCCATTCTTTAGAAAATGGACCTGGTACTGGTGCCACAGAAAGCCCATGGGAACTTCTTTGAGGGAGACTGCTACCTCCTACTGTCTGTAAGTGTCTCCATAACAAGCACAGCCTATATACAGCTCTGACCTTGGCTGGCTGTTTTATTAGCCGAGTAGTGTGCTGAGTAGGGATGAGAAGTAAAAGTATCATAATCTGTATATACACAAATGAACAGGAAGTCAATATGAACAACAGGCGAAGTTCAAGGTAAGCAAACACTAAATAGTGCCAACAAAGCTCTTACCCAGAGATTGCTACCTTGGGAAAAGGCAAGGCTGAAACGTAATGTTATCCTAATGCAACTGCATGCCATTTGATGTCTGCCAAAAGTTCCTCATTTCACTTCAATAATGAATAATTTGTCTTCCACTGTAAGAAATGGAAACATTCATTGATATGAGTTTTCTTGCACTTCCAGACAAGACAATCTGGCAGCACCTTTGCCTATGCTGTCCACTACTGGATTGGTAATGACTCTTCCCAAGATGAGCAGGGTTCAGCAGCGATATACACCACCCAGCTGGATGACTTTCTGGGGGGAAGTCCTATACAGCATCGGGAAGTCCAGGGATATGAATCGGATTCCTTCAAAGGGTACTTCAAGCAGGGCATCATGTAAGTAAAGTGAGAACACCCACTTTGGTGGACCGATAAAGTAATTATGTGTGCAGTTTAAAGCATTTAGCACCCTCTAGCTCAAGCTCAGCTTTATTTCTTCAGTTCCAGTTAAAGAGACCCATTCACATTATGAAACAAACTTGAAAACTACCAATAACATTCACAACTGTGTGTGTAAACCATCAAATAATTATCTTGCAGTGCAGGTATATGTTACAGCAAAAAGCTTGCAAAAGTGAAAGAATATATAAAAAGTCAAACTTTTTTTATAGTTTTTGATACATTGTGGAAGTATTAAACAGACCCTGTCATGAGCTTAAAATGATTGCAGGTAAAAGAACATAAAAATGTGTTTTTTCTTTTATTACTTACTTAAAGGTTTTTTATTGACATGCAATGTACCACTGAGCTTGCTAGCAAATGTGACCCCTTCAGACTAGTCAATTACCTAGATAGTCCATAATAGAAGTCACCAGCACTTGATGACATGTGCAAGAAGTAAAGCACTTTTTATTAAATTGTCACATGCGTCATACAGCCAACGTTTCGTGGCCACGCAGGGCCCGTTTTTCTTGGCGACATAGTCACTAGAAGGGGCCCTGCGTGGCCACGAAATGTTGGCTGTATGATGCATGTGACAATTTTTAAAAAGTGCTTTACTTCATGTTATGTTTAAACCATCGGAGGGTGCGCATACAGTATTTGGCATGACTTTGCACTCCTGTAGCTATGATCTTAGTAAAGGGTTTTTTTCTATTTGAAGAGCTGGCTATTTTTCTACAGGTTTTTAACCGATATCGATGTCCCCACTGAATAACTTGTCATTGTGGCAGTGATGATATATCCAACATTTTACTGCTGTCACTAGAGGAGATCAATAAGCAATAAGGACTTTTAGTAGTAAATTACTGTTTCTTTAAAATGTTTATA